AGAATGGGGCTGTTCTATGTGTTGTCTTTTCTATTCAGAGGCCCCCTGCCTGTCTTTGCTTAGGGCCCCACATTTCCTAAATCTGCCCCTGGGTACGGGGGAACTATTTGAGAAACTGAAAGTTTTTTCTCGCCAGTTTAAACAAAAATCTTTAAAGCTTGTTTTGTCATACTTCCTGCTCCCTCAGTGCGTTTTTAGACCCGATGATCGAGCTCTATTAGTGCCGCCTGATTTTACAGCTGAGTTGAAAGGTGGATGCTTTGCACCAACCGTTAATGTAACCCACCAGGGGCCAGAAGCGGTGGGGGTGAACCGCCTCCTCCATCACTGTCTCCCTGGTAGCGTATTCCCTCTCTCTCTTCCTCTGCTGATGACTTCCTGTCTCCTCTCCTTGTCCCATCATCGATACGGAGGACATCTGATGTCCCCAGAGAGCCGATGACCTCTCTTCTTTTAATCTCGTTTCATTTCCTCTTAAGCTCATTCAGGCTTCTTCTCTGATAAAGTCAGTTGAGATGGTGGAAGTTAAACCGTTATTTTGGTCCTGTGTTTCACCGTGTGTTCGGCTAAATCAGCTCTAACCTCTTCCTCCTCTCTGCAGATGAATGCTTTAGATAATCTAATCTAATCTCAGCGGTCAGAAATGACGGGGAAGTCGTGGGGCGGCTAACGGAGATGAACAGGAAGGAATCTCTCTCTGAGCTCTATGGTGCAAGAGATGCTGCAGATAAACCGATTCCAGCATTAAGAAATTATTCAGATAAAGGATGAGTTATAAATAAAATAAAACATTTAGAGGCAGAAAAAGCAAAATGTAACGATGGAGTAAAACTGGAAAATGTGTGTAAACACAACCTGACCTTTAGAAATAGGATATTTGATTTGTGAAAAAGGGGCAATGATGGATGATGGGTGGGTGGATTTGTTTTTACTTTATTGCCAGTAGAGACCAACATAACCACTAAGTGCAACAACAACAACAACAGCAAAACAAAACAATAAACAAAGAAAAGAAGACAGACTAAAATACAATCAGCTGGACTGACGAAAAAAAGGATCACATAAATTTTCTAGATAACATGGGCATATCTATCTGTCCATTATCTATTCACGTTCACCCATGTATAGAGTAAAAAGAGTCCATCTCCTTATAAACAGTTTCACCTGTAGAATAGCGGCCATATTGTCCATCATTTGGACGTGTTTCATTTTCTGCATCCATTATCATTTTCCTAACAGTCATCAAAAGGAGATGTAGAATATAGCATTGATCTTTGGTCAAATTTTGTTCTGCCATGTTGTCCAATAAGAAGAACACAGGATCTAAAGTTAAATTAATATTCGTCTTTGATGTTTGGGGCCTTTTGATCAAAGCACCAACAGGTCAAATACGATATTTCAGAGAAGAAAGGAACTGACAGGGCAGGAAAAATCATCATCCGTTCATTTAGATTCCAGTTATGCTCTTAAAGGGGTGATAGAATGCAGAGTTTCCATGTTCATAGATGAATAACGATAGTTCAGTGGGTGAAACGGACGTACAGAGAAGTTCAAACCCCATCAACTCCTCCTTTCTCTGCAAATCTCACTATTCCAAACTTCCACCATAAAACAGTGAATCCAAACGAAGCAACGAGTTGACGTAAACTCTGGGATGTTGCTTTATTTGGTTCTGGCCTGGACTTTTATCACGCCCTAAAATGAACATCCAGACCAGCCCACTGGTTCACGGCCCAGGAACATGAATAGAGGCAGATGGAAGACGGCAGTTTAGCTGATTAGCCTACAGGTGGGTTTACTGCTACAAGAATTACAAAGCAGGAAGTTTCTCTATAGAAAATGATCCAGAACCACGGGAGGAAATGCAGCGTTCCAGGCTGACCGGAGGAAGGGGAACGTTTTCAGTCTTCCCAAGGATCCAACAGACATGGATTATTTTAGTCTATCAGAAGATCGCTGCAAAGTTTGATGCTCAGCTGTTCATTTGCTTGAAGACAGCTTTCCAAATGTTGGACAGTTCAAAGCAGGATTTTCTAAACTTCTTTTACTGAAACGAGGAGCTGTTCCTACCGTGAGGCCGTCACAACCGCAGCTGGAAGGATGATTCTGTCGTTACGCTGTTGATAGCAATGCTAGCAGATCTATGTCGACCAGATTTGGGTTCCTGAAAAGAAGGACAATTTTTTTCGG